AAATGGGCAAAATCCCAGTGTAAGATCGTGGCAAGCTTAGAGACTTATCCAGCGACTTTGGCTGTGATTGCTGAAAGGCTGGCTCTACAAAGTATATGACTGAATAGTTAATGCTTTACTTTGTGCTGTTTTCTTGTCTATTTTAGTTGTTTGCTTCAAATTAAAAAAAAACAAAAAAATTTCAAATGCCATCAAACATCCATGTTAATTTAGGGTGTGAGGCAACAAAACATGAAAATACCAAAGGGGGGCTGAATACTTTTGCAAGGGCTGTACATCCTAATTGGCTGGTTGGTTTTCTTTTGCTGATTTTGGGGATTTTTTGTCTTTCATTTGCTAATTTATTGGCTCTGCTCTGAAGATAAGAGCCTCTCCCGTGACAGTGATCAGCTGGCAGAACCACTGAGCCAGAGAACCGAGTGAGGGAAGAAGCCTGCAGAGCCCAGTATCCATCTGACTGCGGTGAGTTAGGGTTTATTTCCCAGTAGTTTGACGACAGGGAATACAGTTTCATAAGGTGCTTCGCAGAGGGCTCCAAACAAAGGTCGGCAGCGACGCTGGTGGCAGCATACACACAACTAATATATCGGCAATTCGACGATTGGTGGACTGAATGGTGGCCAGCTGGAAATTTTAACATGTTTGCCCAACCTATTGGCTATCATATCATCATACGTTTGGTAGAAATTACTTTGAGAAGTTATTTTCAATTTCTCTGATCTCTGATAAGGTATTCATCGAGCTTTCTAGAGAACAGAAAAAGACAGGTATGGAGACACATTACGGCAGACACAAATAAAATACACCAATCGGCTATCATCATTATGCCACCTTGGGCACCCTGACTGGTCAGACAACAGACTATGATGCACTGTGTGTTCTGGCTCCTTTCTATCAGAACCAGCGTTACTGTTTCCAGCAGTTTTGAGCTACAGTAACTCGTCTGTTGGCTCGGCCACACGAGCCAGCCTTCACTTCCACGTGTGCCAATGAAACTTGATCGGTCGCCAGTATACGTGCTTTTCTTCCTTGGAGGCACCTTTAAAGGTCTGCAGACCGTGAACTCCACATAACTGCAGGTTTGGAGATGCTCTGACCCAGTCGTCTAGCCATCACAGTGTGGCCTCATCAAAGTATCAGATCCTAGGCTGCCTATGCTTCCTGCTTCTACACTCAACTTTGAGAGAAAATGTTTTAACTTGTGCTGTTCCTAATATATCCGTGAATAACAGGATGATCACGTGTTATTCACTTCACCTTCAGTGGTCCTAAATGAACAAAGGGGGTGAATACATATGCACATGCCAATTTTCAGTTTTTTATTTCTAAAAAATAGTTTTATGTATATATTTTTCTCATTTCACTTTACCAACTTAGACTTTTATGTTCTGATCCATCACATAAAATTCTGATTAAAAAAACTAAAGGCTGTAATGTAACAGAATAGGTAAAAAGCCAAGGGGGGTGAATACTTTTGCAAGGCGCTGTATTCCAGTCGCCAACCCCTGACAGCCTGCAGTGTAAACACAAATCAGCTACTGTGATTATTCACTATTATATTAAGGTTAATTTATTGTCATTTTACAACACAGGGTTGTACAACTTTAGGATTGTAAATGCTACTTTTTCCTTAGTCCATTTGTGGCTGCTTTAACAACTACTCCTCATGCCCTGACCTTTCCTCCCAGCAACATAGAAACTTTGAACCGAGTAGCTCTCATTTAATAACCTCCTGGCCTCGGACTATTGTGGCATCCCTGATACATATTTAATATTTTTTGCCTAAGGTGCCTATTTCAATTTTGTCTTTGTCTCAGAATGGTAATAAATGAAATGGTTGTTTTTATTACAGTCAAAGTGAACTGATTACATGTTGCTCACAAGTCAGTCTTTTCCTCAGTAACAACAAGAGCCGACAACAACTTTATGGTTATTTAATAACCGCTTATAAACAAAACTATTTGTATAGGGGCATGTAAAAAAGTAGATTACTGACCCACTTGCCCCATGAACCCTGTAGAACGTATACAGTAAGGTTAAGGTTGTGAAATGATTGTGGTTCTGGTTAATAACAACAGTAATTATTAATTACGGGTCTGTGATGAGATGCAAACTCCGGTCTCTTATATCAAAGATGCCACACCCGCCCGACCTCCACACCCTTACACTGTTACATAAATAGAATAATTAACTTTATTAATACAGCAGTTTTTAAGCAAACTTACTAAATGCTTTACATTACATTAAATCATTTCACAATTAAAATATTACAAAATAAAAAGGCATGAAATAATAATAAAAAAGATGAGACATGTTGGAAAGAAAATGTATATAAAGGTCAAACCTATATGCTATTGTGCAGAATTGTCCAATTTGGATATTATTCCAAGGTATACTGGGCTGGAATATGTGAACATTGTACATCCTTTTGAATTGTAAGCCTTGCAATAGTCCTGTTGACATGTTTGTGTACTATCTCTCTCCTTCAGCATGGGAGGTGTTGCCCTCGTGAGTTTCTCCAGCATGGACAACCCTGATGAGAAAGGCGTAACAGGTAACCACGGTGACACGTCATATTTTGTAGTGAAATTGTACTTTTCTCTCTTGTCTAATAGCGTTGAATGAATACTGTCTGAAACCTTCTTTCTAAACGTAATTGACTTTTAACTTTTCATGAAGGTTCTTTGTGGTCGCTGGCTGGAGCAGTGCTGTACGCCGTCTACATCGTAATGATCAAGAGACGAGTGGATCGGGAGGATAAGCTTGACATTCCCATGTTCTTTGGTAAGCAAATGCTGAGTATATTTGTATTTTTAAAATGTCTACTAGCTATTTCAGCCATTAACAATATTCTTAACAATGATTGCACCCTGTCTATGTACTAAAATACTATACCTCTGCACAGTATAACTCTTTTTATTCCATTGAGCTGTCTGACAGAAGGTGTCTTTAGAGCTTTTCTGAGCTAGAGCTTCTGTGTGTCTCTCAGGGTTTGTGGGTCTGTTCAACCTGCTGCTGCTGTGGCCTGGCTTCCTCCTGCTCCACTACACGGGTTTCGAGGCCTTTGAGCTTCCCAGCCAGCTGGTGTGGACGTACATCCTCATTAACGGCCTCATTGGGACCGTTCTCTCGGAGTTTCTCTGGCTCTGGTGAGCACCTGACCCATAATTTATTCAGGTCACAATGCTGACACAAAATCATTACAGTATACATTTTATTTAAAGACATTTTCAGTGGTTTTCTACACTGAAACTCACTCTCTGATGAGTGCATTAATCTCACAGATCTTCAGTTTGAGGAATATACAGTATTTCAAAAGCATTTGAATGCTGTGGCTGGTGACGCTGCTCTCTCTCTCCGCAGGGGCTGTTTCCTCACATCGTCTCTAATCGGGACCCTGGCATTGAGCCTCACCATCCCTCTCTCTATTATGGCAGATATTTGCATGCAGAAGGTAAGTTTCCCAACGCTGGTACTCAACAATCAGAGTCAGAGTTTGAAATAAGATTAAAGATAATGTTTGTTTGGCGTCAGCAAGACGCCAGTTTGAAGAGAGCAGATCAGAGCAGACTGTGAAATGAAAAGTCTGGGTAATGTGGACAGCAGTTTCTATTTGTTTAATACTTTGTCTGGAAATGTTAATAAATGAAATATTTGTATTAGCCAAGTTGTTATTTGTCTCATCTAGTTTGTACAGCGTGTGGATGTGTGTTTCAAGTTAATGTTGGAATGTGAGTAAATATTTATAAACTGTTTAAAGTTCCAGTGTGTAGGATTTAGTGGCATCTAGCGGTGTAGTTGCAGATTAATAGTCCCTCGCTTCACCTTCCCCTTCCAAAAACGTAAACGCCTCTATCTAGAGCCGGTGTTTGTCAGGGTTTGTCCCTACTACAGGTCCTTTTACGACTACAGTAGCCTTTTACAGGCTACTGTAGAAACAATAAAGGCTACCCACAGTGCCTGTAGATAAAAACTGGTCATTGTAATGTAACAAAAACACAACGATTCCTTTATTTAGGTGATTATACACGAATGAAAACATATTTATGAAAATGATATTCAAGTTCTGCCAATAGAGCAGTGTAAATGTTACGCACTGGACCTGGTTCTGAAATCTGAGGTCCGGTACTGACAGTACTTCCTCTGTGTGTGTGTGGATAGGTACGTTTCTCGTGGCTGTTTTTTGCCGGGGCGGTCCCCGTCTTCCTCTCCTTCTTCATCGCCACACTCTTATGCCACTACAACAACTGGGACCCCGTCCTGGTCGGGCTGAGGAGAGTGTACGTCTTCATTTGCAGGAAACATCGCATTCACAGGTACGCACAGTGTGAGTCTGAGCACCCTGCCACAGACGTATTCAGCTCAGACACTGGATAAACAACTAATTACATTAACCATATTTGTTTTTGTCATTTTCCAAGCACACAGTTTTTAGATTGATTTCTTTCCTTTCAAGCAGCCGGTGGTTTCATTATATGAAAAAAAACACTTGGAGACTTCACACTTGTTTGAACCCCCTTATCTAATCCATTAGAAAGAAAACTAAAACAACTTTCTCTGGCAAGGTTACACAAACAGGGACTATTTCGAAAACTTTTGTCTGTCTGTTTCCAGACAGACCTTTGAATTTAGAGCTAAATTGTCAGATCAAACAGAGAAGCTTAGGACTGAGCAAAACATGAACACCTTCTGTCCCTGACAAAGCTTCCAGTTTGGTTTTAATCTCATAAACAAAAGGACCTTGACACTTACTTTAGCTAATAATAATAATAATAATAATAATTTGCCAAAAATAGGACTTTTACAGATTTCTTTTCTACATTTTTTTTACCTCCAACATTTACATAAGAGTGTTTGAATTAGCAGATGGAAATATACAACTATCTGTTACCATTCCTGTGAGGCTCACTTTAATTTAAACAGAATAATCGTTTCATTATCGTTTTATCATTCATTAGATTTTCACAGTAAACACGTTTGATGATGATTGAAATGTTTCCTGCAGTTAATATGACCTGTGTTGCGTATAGATAAGATTTGATCAGTGCCATTGTTGATTCTGCTTTACAGTCTGATTCTTTATCGATTCACTTATTGATTGTCAATCATTTTTTTTGTGTGGAAAAGAAGTAGGCCTACACAGGTTTTTCTGCATCAACTGTGTAGAAACAGAGTAGAAAAGGCTAATTGTAGCAACAGTTTGTCTGTCAACATCTGAAATAGATTAAATTAAAGAATATTTGTTCAGCATTCATTTTCCAAAAACATCCCAGCATTGATAAAAAGGAATTGATCAGCTTGGAGGTGTAGGATTCTTATTGATTGGACAGTTTGGAAACGGTTCTTGATTTCCATCCCTAGTCATGTACGACTGCATCTCGCCAGGTCTACTTTTTCAGTGTGAAATTCACTCCTGGAAGTATGAAAATGTCTATACTTTATGACAGTTGACTTAAAATTCATATTTGGTCTGGCATTTTATTTCTTCTTGACTTTTTCTCAACACATATACTAAACAAATCTAGTTTGTTCTTGTTTGTACAGTAAAGTACTGAGTTGGCAAGAGAAAGAAGAAGACAGAAGGGGAAAAAAACAGAGAGGGATACAGAGACGTTTTTTTCTGATGCTAATATTCTTTTCTCAGGAAATGTAGAAGCAAGGCCCCCGTCTGGTCTCTGCAGTACTAATTAAACTGAGTAAAGTCCAACCACAAGGCATCTGTTACCACATCTAAATGAGCCTCAAACATGTATTCAATATGCTTGTAAAAACACAAAGAATAACTCAAAAAAAATAATAACTCGACTCAGTTACAGACTGCTTGAAGGCGCTCCGCTTCTGAACTGCTTGCTGCAATAGAGAGTGGACATCTGGGGTGATTGGAGAAAAAATGTCTTTCATTGAAAAAAAGGTGCATTTAGCATGTTTGAATATAACACACACACCAACAAAAGGGTGTTTTCTGTCCCTGCGACTTCATTACGACAATGTAACTGCTACAAAACATAAAGATGATGAAATGCTCTCTCTGAAGGATTGTCTATCTCAAGCAGGTTATAAGTCTCTGCAGTTTCTTTTTTTATTGTTAATTAATGGCCTAATCTATTATCAGGCTATAAAAATAAAGGTGACTCACCTACACAACCACTAGAACAAAAACAGCCATTTCAAAGGTGAGTCTAATCACAGTCTAATCGAGTTAATCACATGACAACATCCTCACCGCAGCAGTTATTTCCAGGTGTCTCTCTGTCACATTGAGTTCCTCGGATGTGGTTACTATGGCATCTGTGACGTAAGTGCAAGAAGTGTGTACATACACACACGTACACTTAATGGGTGAAAATGCTGCTCCCGTGTTGTTCCATTTGTTAAAGGCAAATGGAAGTTACCTCTGTACAAACACACACACACACACACACACACACACATATCTGGGAGCAGGCTAAGGTAACTTACACTTAAGTCAGGTTTGTGACAAAAAATACGGGTTTTTTTTTTTCAGCCTAGTCCTTTAAAAAGTTTTAAATAGAAAGTGAGTTATAGTTAAGTTGTATTGTGGTGTGTGACCTATAAAAAATGAATTGACCTTAACTCTGACACGCACACTTAAGAGTCTTTTCTTCTCTGACATTCTCACAAGGACAATAGACTCCATTTGTAGCTCGCAGCCTCGCTAAGTTAAGTCTGTAATCAGATGTACACGCTTGACTGACTCTCCTCTCCGCAGCAGTTATGCTCTCCATTCTTCTGTGAATGTTTGTTCCCGTTAGCTGAGGGATGATTATAATAATGATGGTTGTCAAGATGAGGACTGTGATGATGATTGACACCCCGTTCCCTCCGCCCACAGACTGCCAGAAGACAGCGAGCAGTGCGAAAGCCTTATCCCTCTACACACCGTGTCCCCCAACGAAGGAAGCTTCTGTTCGTGATCCAACAGTCAAACACAAAGTAAATGATCACTCAGCTCTTCCTGGCTTTGACCTGTGTGTTGTTCACTGGTGTGTTTGTTTATGTGCATGTTAGTGTGTGCGTAAATGTGATAATACATAAATCAGCCGGGTTGTTTGAGTCTTAGCCTTGACAAAAATATGAAAAATTAAACTTAAAAACAACAGAATTTTAAATTTCTGCCTTCGGTGTGACAGTGCTGCCGGTAAGTAATTCACAAACAGCAACTTATTTCAGTTTGATATTTTGTAAAGTGGGACAGCTTCTAATGTAGGAACTATATAATAGTACACAATTAAAACACAATGCTGCTTCTTTATAAAGCATATTAGATACAGTAAATCAAGGA